GTGACTTGCCCAGGGTCACATAGCATATGTCAGATTTTCTTAACCGAGTTCTTCTTGACTCTAAGGCCTATTTTCTATCTACTATGACATTTTTTCTCTCCTTGTCTCTAACACACAAAAACACATACATATGTATGGATGCTTGTATTTATGTATATATGTCTACATATGCATATATATCTTTTCTCGGTAACTAGGGGCAGCTAGATGGCACAGTAGATTAAGGTGCAAGGCCTGGAGTCAGGAAGACTCATCTTACTGAGTTCAAATCTGGCCTCAGACACTTACTAGCTGTGTGATCCTGGGTAAGTCATATAATCCTGTTTACCTCAGTTTCCTCATTTATAAAATGAGCTGGGGAAGGAAATGGCAAACCACTCTAGTATCTTTGCCAAGAAAACCCAAACAACTGAATAATAAGATTGAAGAATCTTGAATATGGTTCTGACAACAAGGTATTTTTTTTCTCCAAGAGCATTTAGCACAGCATTAATCTCAGAAAAAAAAAGAACTTTATATTTGCACCCTCCATTGGCTGTTCTTTATTTTTTTAATTAATTATTATTATTATTATTTTTAGTGAGGCAGTTGGGGTTAAGTGACTTGCCCAGAGTACACAGCTAGTGAGTATTATGTGTCTGAGGTCACATTTGAACTCAGGTACTCCTGACTTCAGGGCTGGTGCTCTATCCATTGCGCCACCTAGCTGCCCCCATTGGCTGTTCTTTAATTGCTTTTAATTCTTAACTGTAATTCATTGATACTTAATAAGCTATAACTAACTAAGGGGAAAACTGTATCTGTTGTAGTCAAAATCTTGCATTTTCTCATCAAAATAGCATTAACATAAGTAGAATGATAGTCAAAAGGAGAAATATGGTATGTGTAGTCACTATGACAAGAAACAGTTACTATGTTTTATTTTTTAAATAACCCTTTCCCTTGAGGATTTCTCTTGTTGCTGTTGTATCTACCAACCTAAATACTATTTACTCCTTTTCTTCTTTATTTTTTTTTTGAGATTCTAAAGATATTTTATTTTGGTTAGGCCTTTTGAATGGTATAAAGCTTCTAAACAATCTAGCTTTCTCTTACTTCAGGCTAAATCTATAGTCAAATGCCTTTACTTTTTGCATCTGAACTGAATTTCCCCACTGCCAATCCTGCCTCTACTTTCAATAGGATCTACTTTTAAAAGGTGGTGTCTAGGTGTCTAGTCATGCCACTGATCTGAAATGATAAATTAGAACAAAATGTAGGCTAAGTAGTTTTAAACTATACTAACATGATCTTCTTAAGGTTGAGACAATTTTCAAATGTAGTTTTAAAAAATTACATTATGTTCCTTCTCCTAAAAATTCTAAATGACATACTTCTCCTGAGTCACAGCATAATTAGATAATATTTTTATTAGACTTTCTTTACAAATTCGAAATACTGCTATTTTTACATGCACAGAGGAAAATCAGTTTGAACAATTGTACTTAGGCATTCATTAAAATGAACCACAAATAGCAACACTTAATTGTGTCAGTTATCCACATAATTGATATGTATATCTAAAGTGCATTATGTTACAAAAAATAAAGTCAGCAGCACCAAGATACATTTACAAAATAAATACATTGTTCAAAAATAAATTATGATAAAACATGATAATAATTGGCTTAGCCTGGGGGGAAAAAAGAAAATTCACAATGACCAATGTGCCATTTCATTGAGCAATGGGGGAGGGGATCCATTTTATTCCAATGCATTTACAGTATTTACAGACAATAAATATTTCTAATACTTTCCATATGTTCACTATTACAGAATACTGCAATATGCTTTCTGAAGTCCTTAGCTGAAAATTTCAATGCCTCCTGCAAAGAAGAGGAAAGAAAAGAAGGGAGAAATCAATTAATTCTCTTCACACACAAAATGATGGAACATGAAAAGTATACAGTTAAAGAAGATAACATAACAAGGTAAAAAAGACATTTTATCTCTTAAATATTTTTTCCAAAGGAGCTAAGGAACAGCATTGAGTGGAGTAGAATTCAAATATCCCTTTAGAATCTCTTTTGCACGCAAGGTTTGGGGACAGACAAAGCAGAAGTAAAGTTTGTGGCAAACCAGTTTAAAATAACTGCGCCCCTAAAAACTAAAGCTTAAGTCTATATAAAAATTATCACAGGGAAAATATTGCTCTATTTCTGCTAAGGCTGTCAGAAAAACCATGTTCTCTGAAGACTTGCAGGGAGCTTCTAGGTGATAAGGATAGGGGAAGAAAGAAAAAAAAAAAGAGCACTTGAAGGTGACGTAGAAGTGGAAAATATGTCATCTAAACCCCCTGGCTTTAGACAAAGCTTCAGGCAGGTTTCTTTCCTCTGTGACTGCTGCCATTGAGTGACCCAAATGTTGACTGTTTTTTGCTCAGTTTTTCTCCTGACACTGTCTCTTTTGGCCTACCCTTTTGTCAATGAAAATAGATTACTTAGGCTGGAGTGAAAACTTTTGACATTCGTTGATTTACTGAATTCAGTTTTATATTGTGTTGCATATATGAATCATACTTAAATGGTGTTCTTTATTGATGATTTGGGGGAGAGACAAAGGATTCATCTTTAGCTGTACTTAAAACACTAATGAACAAACTTATTATTGGATTATAGTTTTGGAAATGAAAATTACAAATGATTATAACTTTAAAGCCAAAAAAGACTGAGATTGAGGCATCTCTCTGCCTCTTTCTTCTAGGCAATGAATATTAATTTAGGAAGGAAGGAAAAACCCTATTGAAATTTAGGGGATAAAGTGAACTGACTTTTAAAAAAAATGGCAGCATGCTACTTCCTTGTGTGTCTTTTACTACTTGTATTAAGTTAACACTTGGTATTGAGAACCTTTAATCACTCTGGTCTGGTCAATAATATTTTAAGAGTATATAGCAAAGCTTTTCCCTGTCTTCCTGTCTCCCCTTTCCCTCTTGGCCTACTTCATTTCAGTTACTGTGTTGGTTGCTAGGGAAACAATATAGAATGGAATTTGATTGGCTGTGCCATTGGATTGACTGCCAGGATTGTGGGCAAAGTTTCACATGGCAGACATGTGGGTGTGAGACACACAAAAAGAGCAAATTCTTGACAATTTAGGGGTTTTATTTGTTGTATGAGGCAAAAAGCATACCGGACATTTAGAGAAGTTTTACTGTGAATCCCAACCTGGCCACTTACTACTTCTGTGATCTTGGGGAAATCACTCACTTCTCTGAGCTTCAGTTTGCTTCTCTGTAAGAAGAGGAGATTGAAATAGATAACTGTTTTCTAGCTCTAAGGCAATGATACCATGACCCTTTGAATATGACCTATGAATAAGCATTTCTAATTATACTGGGATTATTCCAAAATGCAGAGATGACAGGCTACAGATTACAATTTTGACTAAAAAGTGGGTACAAATGTACATTATGAGTAAAGTCAGGAAGATGACTGAAAGAGGAAATAATTTCATAGAATCCCAGTATCTCAGAGTTGGAAGGGACTTCAGTCTGTTTAGTGTAACCTTTGCTTGAACAAGAATTCTCTCTATAACATTTCCCACATGTTGCCATCCAGCTTGAAGATTTTTAGTGAAGGGGAACCAATTGTTTTCAAAACCAAGGCACTTTGAAAAGTCTTCAATGTTAGGTAGTATTTGATGAAATGTGTTGAGAACATTATCAGTAAGAATAAAGACTGAGTATTGAATTTCCTTCCAAATCAAAATGAAAACACCAAAAGCCAACGTTTAAAATGCTTTTAAAAATGCTCAGCCAATTTGCTCATTGTCTTCACCTATGATTTCACCTGTAGCATATGCACACACCCAAATAGGGAACATCTAAGTAAACAATCCATGTGTACAGTAAGCAGGTGTATTTTATTACAAATATATAAATACAAACACACTATAGTTCTGAGCTCTCTTATTTATTGAGGAACTCTGCTATATTATTTGTCTTTTTGTGAATAAATATTTGCTGAGACAAAAAATATCTGATTTAAAGTTATAATTAAAATGTTTTTCTGAATTCTGACGTTTCAGCCAGATGTCAGATCAAAAACATGATCATAATGTAATTCTTAGAAAATAAAGCAATACATTTCCTACTCTGCATGCCATATGAAAGAAAACAAAAAAATTAGCTGGATAGTTTTTAAAAGACAAAAACTCTATAGATGTAAGCTTATGACTTTACTATTTCCTACTTTTTCCATTCTCAGACAATATTGTTAATAATGCCTTTCCCCCAACCCCCCAAAAAAGGACAGGGAAATAAGAAATGGCTAGATGCCTCTTCCCCTTGTTGATCTTATGTATAGTTTTCTTAAATGCTTGTATCTGAAAAAAATTTTATTTGGCTTATCTCAATAAGTAGAAAAAGAACACAAAATACATTTGCATTCCTTAAATATAAACTGCAGAGGTATATCAGCCAAACAAATTTTATATGGCTTATTATTCCATCTACTTAAAAAATTTCTATGGTTCTATTCATTTTTACTAATGACACTTCTTTACCCTGCTACCCAATCCACTTTCTTCTACAGTTTGTCATAATACTACAGAAAGAGAATACAAATATCTGGCTACAACACAAAAAACATAGTCCCATGAGGCTTCTAACAATAAGAGAATAGAAAGAAGAAACAGATTATTTCTTTTTAGCCCATTAGGCATTGGATTGACTGCCAATCCTGTGGGCAAAGTTTCACATGGCAGACATGTGTGGGTGTGAGACCTAATTGCATTAGGCCAATGTCTAATTTTCACTCGATCTACTCTGGTTTCTTTTGGGCTGTTGGTACAAGAAATGGTGCTTATTTTCATAATTTATCTAGACATTCAAGGGCACTGAAAACTTAAACTGTCAGCCAATAAAATCCATAATAAAGTATTTATGTTGCCTTTTTTCAGATCTCCAGCATATGTAGGAGTAATAAAATAGAAATGGAGCCTAATAATAAAATTACTGGTTTTCATTACTTACTTTCATGCATATGTGCATATAGGAATATATCTTAAAACATGCTGAAGATATTTAACTAATTATCAGCAAATGATCTAAGATATATAGACCTCACTATAACTTACAGATGCATTCAGTATCTGTGCTAGGTCATTCATTGAATCCAAGCAGTCTTCAGTGATGTCATCACTTACTCTTTAAGTTATCCTAATAACACCAAATAATTTGACATCTGATATGATATACACACTAAATTTTAGTCAATTAACTCAGGAAGTGATGCTGATTATCAAGTTCAGAATTGACTAAAAACAAATCATTCTGTATTACTATTTGCCAGAGAACTGGGAAAAGATTGGTGGGATGAAGGGGGAGTATGAATGGTAAGAAATCATTGGTTGCATCTGATGTGTTCTTGTGTTGTTTTCATCTGTCTTTCAAACCCCATAGGATTTCTGTACTGAAAAGTAAAAAAAAAATCCTATCAGTGAAAAGTATGTATAGGAAGGTACTGTTATCTAATGGATAGAGCACTGGATTGAAAGTCAGAAGACTTTGGCATAAAGTCCAAGTCCAAATTCAAATTGTGATCTTGGGCAAGTCACTGAAGTACTCTGTGACTTAGCTTTTCCCTTTGTAAAATGGGGTTGATATTTGGCACCTTTCTGACTTATAAAAACATTTTCATGACAAATGTAATCGTAAATAGATATCAAAAGTACTGTTAGCATTTAGGATAAAATTTGCCATAAGAGTTCATAGTAATATTATCATCATCAGTAATGTTCCCTTTCTTCTAATAATGTGCTTTTGGTGGGCCATTGTAACTCATGATATCATGATATACAGGGAAATAGACATTCTTTGAAAGCTAATACACAAAATTTTTCTTGGTAGTCATATTCCATAGTATAGTATAAATTCCTCAAGGGAAGACTGTTTAGTTTTTGTCCTGAATCCCTAGTACCTAACACAGTGCCTGGAACACTAAATGCTTGTTGAAATAAATTGAATTAAATTTCTGATCAAAAAGATAAAACAATTAAAATGTTAAAGACTTGGAAATATTTACAGTTTGCCCATAAATTGTTTTACATATATAATGCAATTGAACACATATAATACATATACAATATAATATGTATTGTATATATAATACAATATTGTACATATACAAAATAATATGTATTGTTCTGTAGTGTTTATAGATATTGGGAAAGCAGAAACTCTCCTAATTTTTCCTTAAGATGAAAAGAGCATAAATAAAATGTCTACAACATTTGAACACTGATTTGTTTTATATTACAGTCATAGCCACTAACTTCTCTGAAGCTCAATTGATATTCAATCTTAGTATTGGTCAACTTAGCCGAGGAAGAGCCTAGGAAGAGATAACACGGTATAATGGCTAGAGTGTTGCCCATAAAGACCTGGATTCAAGTCTTAATCTTTACCCATCCTGGCTCTTGTGACCCTGGACAACTCACTTAACCTCTAAGTGTTCCTACTCTAACCTCTAAGTTGTAAAGAAAGTACTTATGTTGGTGGGTATTTCTTTACCTGGAAGTTCCCTTTATCAGTGAAATCATGAGTCTAGTCCCTATTTAAATTGGGAAAATATGTTTAGAAGGGTTGGGAATCTCCAATTACTTTAGCAGGGTTCTGACAGAATATCATAAGAGATCTTAAAAAGTATTGCTCCAGGGCAGACTATATTTTCATCTTTGTTGTGATTTATGTATCATATCAATAGGGAGAAAGTTCAAGAACTATGTGAACTGGAGAGAGAATGTATACAATATCTCAGGGTGATGAAGGCCAGGCAACAGGCCTGGAAAAGTTTAATTACCGTAAGTTGAGATCCAGCGTGGTCTCAGAGATGTCTGATAGGTGAACCCCTTCAACCCCACTACCAGCTACTCCAGAGTTTAACCAAGCTGATCGAGTTCGCCGTTTTTTCTTTTCCTGTTCCTTGCGTTTCCCTGGCTTGCCTTTCTTTTTCTTGTTAGATGTCCTCAGTGGCTGCTCTTTATATGTCTGTGCCTTGTTGGTCTCCTGAGTTAGGTACTTCCCTTCATCTTCACTTCCAAACCGGACAGGGTAGTTCTTTGTGTTAGTAGCAGGCTTGGGATTAGGAGAAACTTCTAAGGTAGCTCGGATTTCAGCTGTGTTAATGCCTTCAATCAAATTTTGAAGAAAGATTCTTCGTCGTAAATCTTGAATAACCTTCCCTTTGTCATGGAGGAACTGGTGCTCTGATACAGCTCTTTTGCTAAAAACAAAAAACAAAAACAAAAACAAAAAAACAAAAACCCAAAAGTTGGGGAGAGGAAGTGGAGAAAATTACAATTTAGTTACTACTAGATGTCTTGATTCTACTAATTTTCCACTTTGCACATTATGAAGAGGACCATAAGAGCAGGACCTCTTAGAATAACTATTTCTAAAGATAAGGAGAGTAGAATCAGAAAAGGAATAATGTTTGACTAACTCAACATGAATCATTAGGCTTGTATCTATTTTTTTCAGGGTTCTATGAGAGGAAACCCCTTATAATTAGTTCCTGGAATAAGTCAATAAACCTGAGATGAGAAATGTAGAAGTAGCTTCTGGTCCTTTTTAAGCACATCTCCCTTATCCCACACACTGACTATAGGATCCCAAACTTAGAAGGGACTTCCTCTTCTTCACTCCTTCTGCAGTCCAGTTAGCCTGCCTTCTTGCCTCACACTCAATAGTCCATCTTTTGTCTCTGCGCCTGGAATGCTTTCCTTCTGCACCTCTGTCTCTAAGAATTGCTAGTAACTTTCAGAGCTCAGTTAAATGTCACTTCCTATATAAGGCATTTCTTAATACCCTTCCTTATGTACTGTATATATTTTGTTATGTATTATATATTTATATATTATCTCCTCTGAAGAAAAATGTAAGTTTCTTAAAGTCAGGGACTAAACTTTCATTTTTGTCTTTGTATTCCCAGAATGCCTAGCACATAGTAGACACTTAATAAATGCTGATTGATTGGATAGCAGATGAACTATACCAGCTCTTCCTACTCCTACTCAAAACATGAATCTCATTTACATTATAACTGACAAGTAGTCATTCAGCAAATTTGAAAACCTCTAGTAATGAAAAATTCACTATCTCCCAAGGCAGCTGTTATGAGGGGGACAGCCTGTACAAAGCAATGTAGGTGGGAAATGGAGTGTTCCTTTTTCAAATAACCCATTAGGGGTTTTTTTTTTTTAATACTGAAGAGAAGTCTGGCTCTGTAACTTACATACTCTAGTTCTAATTCTGTCATTGGATTTGTGGCCATAAAGAACAGATTTCATTCGTCTTCCACATGACAACATTTCAAATATTCAAAGAAAAGCAAAACAGTCAGTCAGCTAACTAGCAGGCACCAATGTATGTAGTTTAAATACAATTCTGCTCTTTAAAAAAGTATGCTTCAAGTAAAAGAAATGAGTGCTCCCTTGAATATGAGAAATCCAACTTTCTACTGTCTGTGCTTGCCTTGCAATATTTCTCTGCAGGCAATAAATGCCTTGATGTACCCACTGATGGTGTGTTTTTTTAAGTACAGTTCATCAAATATTATCTAATATGTGTAATATCACTTTAATTCAAAGACAGTGAAAAAGATAAAAGTGGAAGGAGTTGAGAATTTCCTATAGGGCATGTTTGTTTATTTTTAAAACTTCACCAGTAAAGATATATTGGTGTGATCTGATGGATTTCTGGCCATGAGGGCACATCGTATCTTTACTAGGACTTTCATATTTCCGCTGTACTCCTGCTTATCTCATTTCCTACAAAGTCCTTTTAAATGATCTCCAGTCTCTTATACAAATTTGTTTATCTCTTCCTTTCCTTACCCCACTCCTCCCTTCTATGTGCCAGTTATTAAAGTTATTCTGAGGTTATTTAGGTGAACTTTTAGTTTACTCAGCCATATTTTCAATTATATACCTTTCAGAGAAACCTTCCTCCATTTCCATTTTTTACTAAACCCTACTATGTTTACTGTGATCCAGCCTCCTTATGCAGGTTGGAGAACTAGGTTTGTTGCCTTCAAAAGGAATAAGAATAAATAAAATTCTGAGGGGTAAAGGTAAATAATATCTAGTGAACCATAAGAAAAGATTCTAGAACATTAGAATGATCATTAACCATGGGCTAATCTCAAACACATCTGAGGAAAATTGGAAGGGCTATTCCCTAAATATCCTGACATCTATCTGTGGTTGCACTGTATCCATACTCACTATGACTCCCAGGGTAACACTTTCCCCTCACAGGAATGAAAATAGCTTCCATTTCCTCACCTTTTTTCTCCTTACAAATTTAAAGCATCCCTTAGTTTGATTCCTGGGAGGAGGAAATAAGAGTAACATAAAGACTAGTGGGAGCCATTGTAACAGTGAGGAGAGCAATTTAGACCTCTGGCATCTGGAGCATAGGCATCATTTTATGACTTAGAGATATTATTATTGCTATTGCTATCTATCTCTTCATCACAAAATAAATAACTATGGTTCCTAGAGTTTTTCTCTGGAAGAGAGGTGCTTATTCAGTAACTTTCTAAGTGAAAGTGCACAATGAGATTTTAGATTTTAATGGTAATTTCCGTGGATATTATGCTTAACATTCAAACTACCCTTGTGTATTTTAAAGTGCTGACTGACTTGAAGACATTACTTAATGGAAAGGAATTTAAAAGGAGCCTGATTTAAATGAACCATGCAGTAGTCTCTTTTCCTTTTTGAAGGTGCCACATGTGACTAGATTAAAATTCACTTAGTCCGTGGGAACTTTTAATATCTTGGAAACTTTTAATAATCTGCATACTTGAAAGTTAGTTATACTATGACTACATATTCTAAATGCAGCAGTTTTGTATTTTTCTTTCAAAAATAGGTCTAGTATAATTACATATCTCATAGTTATTACAATTTAGAAAGCATCCTTTGGCAAAATGCCAAACACATAAACACAAAAGTATCTTAGCCATTAATCATTCATAACATATTCTGGATTATTTCACTCCCTTGTCGCTCCAACAGAAGCTCATTTCATCTCTCCTGTTTTCCAATTTTATAACACAGACCGATCCATTCTATTAGCTACAAGCTAACTTTTAAAAGCAGTTGGTTTCTTCTAATCAAATCAGTTTTGCTCATGTCCATTCTCACTGGCATATAGTGCTTCTGTCATATGTGAGTCACATAGCTTTCCTAACTTAAGCTCCAGACGTTCCCAGGATACTGCTCATGGGAAATGCAGTTATCATTCTACGCTTCTACTTTATAAAAAGCATTCAGATTTGTATGACTTCGCTCAGTTTAAAATCGTATGTCTCTTGCAAGGAGCAAAGTTTTCCTTTTGTCTTTGACAAAATTATTAGGAGCTGATTGTAATCTTCACAGACAATGCTGTCAGGCAGTTCACCTAGTGTTTCAAGGACTTTAGCCTTGAAAATGTGGCTAAAAATAAAAATGATCATCAGAACTCCCCCCCCCCACTAGGTTTTTGTCTTAGGCATATGGATTAAGTTCTAGTTCTCTTTATAGTGAGTAAACGACTTGCCTTTTAAAAGATGTGTACATACACATTGTTTGGAAAGAATAAGAAAGAATTAAGGAGCTTTCCATTTAAGTATCTATATAGTATTTGAGAGACATATCTGTCTCCCAATAACACTCCAGTATTCTATATTTCCATACAAGATTAGATAGTTTTATGTTTCATATGACATTTATTATTCAGGGTTTAATATTAAAAAGAAAACAATAAATCCTTACCATAATATGCTTCATTGTTTTCCTTAAACATTATTATTATTTTTTTTAAACAAAAATGTAGGAAAGAATTCTTAACAAAGGTACCTCTCCACATTTATCTGGTCCACTGTTCTGCTTTAATTCAGAGGGAAATATCTTTCTGGGTGAATTATCATGGAAATACATTACATTTCTAAAGAGCTGTCAAGTACGGAGAGTAAACACTGTGATAGAAATTTTTTTCTTAAGTACAGAATGAAGCAGGCCACTGGAGCAGAAGCTTGGCTCTTAAGGAAACATGGAGAAGAAAAGTTCTGTGGTCCATGGAAGAGACAGGGTTAGGGTGTTAGAATTAGGATGACTCACTAGAAGTCCCTTCCAACTCAAATGACTCAGTCAAAAGTAATGCTTTTTATTAAGTGGAATAGACCAAGTCTGACTCCAAAGCAAATGCAGCCAATGATGTTTTAAGTTTACGAATATACTGGAGAGAGTCCCTTTACAATCTGAATGCAAAAGGTACCCATCTACTTGCCCAAAGTATTTTAACTTAGAATAATCTGCTGCTTGCATCTTGGTCTTTGTCTCATTCACCCTCTTGCCTCATTAAATATTTGTTTTTCAGTCAGGACCTGCAATTTCAACAGTGTAGGGCAACTCCTAGTATAGAAATTTCAACTAACATTGCAGTCGGGTAACTTTTCTACAATTTACAGTCTTGAAGAGTCACCTGGGTTAAACTGCTTGACCATAGTCACATAGTATATTCCAGAGGCAGAATTTGAACCCACATGTTCCTGATATTAAAATTGGCCCTATATTCATTAATGGATACTGCCTTTTTCTCTCTCTCATTAAATATATTTTATATCAAGTCCCCAAACTCCAGAACTTGCAACATTTCTAATCTTTTTCCTGTTCACCTGCTTTAGGAAGTTTTGCTAAGTTCTGTTTTATTATAGAACTGCCCACTACATGTTAAAAGCAATACTTCTATGTATTAACACCCTAAAGCACTAAGGAATTTCTAAGGGGTACTGAAATATTTATGTAGTTGAGGTTAAGCAGTTTTCCTAGAATTTGGTTTGAAGAGTGATTGGGGAGTAATATGGCTTGATTATATGTTAATAAAAGTTCTTTCAAGAAATTGACTTATTTCATATTTTTAATAGACTCGTGTTTTGTCTAACATGCAGTTGACTGTTGTTACTTGGTGACACTGCAGATCTAATGACTTGTTTTTAACTCCATCTGGCAGTAGTAATTTGGTGTAATATTTTTGTCTACTGATGATTTAAGCTTCCATGAAAAAGCCTGGCTGTAATGTAATGTGATGATTAATCATTGACTAAAGCAATGTTTTGTGGTAGTTTTATAACTGTCTACAGAGTGTGAGTATTTAAGTATGAGATTGTGTTTCACCCACAAACAAAACTGTAACAGTGTTACTGGCTGCTAACTGATTTCTGATGTGTTTTGCATATTATGGCCAAAAAAGAGTTAAAATAGCATTGCAAAAAACAGCACAATTTTCTGCAGTAATTGTGGAGAGGGAGAAGCAATCATGATTCACAAGTGGTTCCTCAAAACAGAAAACAGATATTTGTTATAAAACTTTAAAGAAAAAAAATTGGCTCCATTCCAATTCAGTGTTTCTTGGCCCAGGTGACTCTCCAAGACTGTAAATTGTATTAATTGTGTGTCACATTTTCTTATTTACATACACCTAAACATAACTTCTCTTTATGCTCAAACTGAGCAGTTTCAAACTCAAGAAAAAAAAATCTGAAGACAATTTTCAAAAATGCACCAGTAAAGCTGTTAATTTGAAGAAAACAATGTAGCTTTATCTTTAGTACAATGTTCTACACAATTTGCCTTAGGAGATTCATAATAGATTTTCATTTAGTGCCAAGGCTCAGACACATCTAAAGTAATTTCATTTAGGAATTTTCTATTCGTATACTAACAATAATTATTAATAAAATAATAAAATAAGAAAATATATGAAACAGTTGCTTTTGTGTATTCCCTGGAGAACTGACAAGTAAACCCTACTGAACAGTGGTTGTAAATATTGGATATGACTACCCTTAATGTGTAGGTTTCTTCCATTAATTCCTTCTCCAGAGTCTCATTCCCTTTGCAGTTTCAAATAAAACTTTTGTAGTACTTTGAGTGTTCTTTCGCCTGGGCATTCAGTATACAATTAAAATGACTGCACAAAGAGCACGAAGCACACGTTCAAATTCAATCTTTTCCTTTTGTGATCGGGTTAGTTATTGATCTGGGCCCCTCTTCTAACTTTTCAGTAACATGCTTTTAATTGAAGTGATGTTATTTCTTTAGTGTGGGTGGATGGCTGATTATTTTGGATCCAAAGTTCATCCTTAGAAGATCTCCAAAGGAGAGGCTATCCAAGTCCTTCAGTAGACGGGATAAAATATATGATTTCACTTGAAAAAATATTTCAAAGTGGCAATAATCCAAAGAAAAGGCGTTCTACACTTAATGTTCATTATGGAACTAATCACCGTAACCTTTTTGGAGTTTCTTTGAATTTTGCCAGTGAGAAGTTTTAATTATTTTAAATAAAATTTTGTCATTATTTGGCATGGTTATGCCATTCATAATTAATATACATATTTATAATTCTTAAACATATGCATATATGTGATATAAGAAAGCACATGTTTACTTCCCTCATACTTCCTATGCTTCCTCTAGTTTATCCCATTCTCTTACAGTTTTCGGATATTAAAATGAGACTCTTATTATCCATTAAGGGAAAGAATAAAGAGATTAGGTGAAAAAAACTACCTTTCATAGAAATCCTATTTAAAAAATCCTCAACCTGTTATTAAGTCCACTTCATAGACTTGGTCTCAACTAGCAGGCTTCAGCAGGTAGCCTGAAACTCATCCTGTTCAAAACTGAAGTGGGTAGCAACATTCACACATCAGTGGAAAGTTGGGAGAATTCCTGGAGCCGTACTACTGCCAGCTCCAAGGCGGCCACAAACTTTCCCTTCTCATCCCGCTCCGTATTTGTCCAGGAATCACACAAGAAGAGAAGAGAGACTTACAGTCGGCGGCTGAGCCCCTCCACCGATCTCCCACAAGAAGGAACAGAGTAACTCAGCAGAAACACCGCAAAGCTCCATTGCTGAAACAATCTCCTGAACATTGTATCTTGGTCTCGGAACCTGCAATGAAATGAAAAAGAAAAAAGAAAGAAAGAAAAAGAAAAAAAAGGAAAAAAAGAAAGAAAAGAAAAAAATGGGTCCAAAGAGTCACTCCGTACTCCCCCCACTTCACTGTCTTTAAAAAAAAAAAAAGAAAAGAAGAGAAAAAGCCTCTTTTACATTAGGGGCATCTCCAAAGTTGTAAAAGAGAAGTGTTCTCTAGAACCTCTTTGAGCACTCACTTCTACAGAAATCAGCTCCTGCAACTGGGATCGTGCACGCGCACTGCGCGTACACACACACACACACACACACACACACACACACACACACACACACACACACACACCCCGCACACACATACACATAGGCAAATCAGAGACACTGCCTCTGAAATAACGACAATGAAATAGTTTATATATGCATCAGGGCAAGGAGTGTGTTTACACGTCTCCCATAGCAATGCTTAATTAATCTGGCAAACAGCTCTCTCATGGGTCTATGGAGCTAGGCAAGTCCCCACTTTTTTTTAGGTGAAGAAAAGTTCCCCAGATAAGTCAGCCTTCCTGAACGTCTGAAGGACCAGACCTCTCGTTTGAGAGACACATGTAGACACACACACACGTTTATATACCTTCTTGGATGCAGACAGAAAGTCGATTCCACACACACTTTTGGAAAAGGCGTATGTCGTTGTCTTTATCTAGAGAACCAGGTTGCAGACGGATCTAAAAAGCAGCTGAGGCAGCAGCGGAGGCAGGAGGTATAGGCAGTGGCAGCGGCAGCGGCAGCTGCAATGATGGGGTCCGCTCTAGAAGCTGGAAAGCATGCTTTGGTTGTGCAGGTTGGAGCAGGGCTAGAAGCTGAACTGGGACTGGAATGTTCACACGCTCTGGAGGCAAAACCTGCTGGAGAAGTGAGCGACTCGCAAAGAGGTGGCGCCCTAGGAACATGTGCTGGGAGAATGCAAGCCTAGAGCACAGATGAAGCTAGGGGGAGGGTTGGGGGGATGGGGGAAGGGGGTAGGAAGGAGGAGGCTGTGGATTGTGAGAGAGCTAGAGACAGAGACAGAGAGACTTGGAGAAGAAGAGGGAGAGGAGAGGGAGAAATAGAGGAGAGAGAGAGCACAAATAGGCAGGCAGGCACGCACGCCCAAAGGCACATATATATGCTTATCCTCTAAAAGTCTCTCCGATTTTAGGACTCCAAGATGGTCTAGGGGGCTCGGAGGCAAAGGGAAAGAGGCGGGATGAAAGAAGGGGTAACTTTCGGTTCCCCGCGTTAGGCTGGGGGGTGGGGTAGGTGAGGGTATCATTTTAAGCTCCTTTGGGAAACTTCATTCCCTAGAGGTAGGAGGTAGTTTGAATACCGTCACTTTCAGGTGTGGCGCTGAGGCTGCCCACAGTCTTCTCCCCTTTTCCTTCCCAGGCCCAGCAGAGTCCAGTGCCCTACCAGAAGGGTGATGCTTCTGATAGCGTACTCTGGAGGAGAGGAGCAGGGATGGATTAGAGGGGGATGGAGCAAACCTCTGAGGAACCAGCAACATCAGGTTCCAGAAAGTTTTGCTATCTTCTTTAGGCTCTAGCTTTATGGTATTAGCAGGTAACTCTCCCTGCCTCCCCCACCCTGCCCCCAATGAGTTTGCTAGGAAGCGTACAGGGCTAAGGGCACTAGGAGAGGGTGGAGAAGCCTCCATTTATACAAGAAAAACGGTTTCAGCCTTCAGGCTGAGATAGAATTTCTAGCTGTTTCTGCCTGGAGAACAGCTGGGGACATCTGGAGCTGGTCCAAGAAACTTCATGCAAACTTTCTTTCTCCGCTGAAGGAGTGACAGTCTTGTTAGTGTGCTCAGCTTACCATCACTCCCAACAACAATAATGTCCCCCACCCTTTTCCCAGTTACCCTAACACTACTCCCACCCTCTCCCGGCACTACAAACCCTACTTCCAAAAAAAAAATGTATCCTGGAATAACTGCGTCAAAAGACCTCTCCAGTTCAACAAACGCAATTCGACAACCTTTCTGTAAAGTTATCCTCTTGGGGAAATCAGAGGAAAGCAGAAGTGTTTTTCTCAAAGAGCATCTTCCGATCGAGTTAACTATGGAAGAATAACAAGTTTATGTATTTAATCACCAGTAAATTTTGGACATCCTGGACCTATATCTAACTTTTGAAGTGAATGTAATTCATTGAAATCATTCAAGGATGTCTATAATCTTTTAAAAGATCAGTAGTAGCTCCATTATTCTCTGAGTAAACCCGGAATGATGCTGAGGTTTGAAATGATTATGATATGCTTGACCTTCACTGGAGGTGTCAGTATCAGCCACTATTCACCATTCACATCTACTCCTTGCTTCTGCACAAGTTTTCACAGAATGAACATCACTTTTCTTCTTTAAAATCACCCTTTCAGGATCTCCACAATTTTCATGAAAGATTAAAGCAGTCAGAGCAACACAAGAGACAAGATTCAGATCCACAGAGGGATCTATCACTTGATCAAACTACTGACACCTGACAATTTCTTTCCAAACAGATTGACGAGCCTTAACATAACCCTTAGAATCTATGAAAAGCAAATTACAAACAGATCACTTTATACTTGTGAATTGTTTTAAATTAACAGTATTATATTTACTCCTACAACAATACAACTTCTACAACAATAAACCAAAGCACTTAGCGAAATTTAAAACTACATAAGCAAAATAAATAAACAAAACCCTGAAGAAGGAAGATTGAAATTCAAATCAGATAGGAGACATTAACTCATTTTTCTTGTAAACAAATTCACCATACAGTGAAACACTTCAGTACTCCTTAATTTAAGAGGTATCATCAGTAAACTTTGATCTACGCTGATTTTTCAACTAATTAAAAAATTTACCTCTTTCTCTTCTCACTTTGCTTTACCCACACACTCCTTACTGGTGTTAATGGCAACACATCTATCAAATCTTTTTAGAATTTCCTCTCTTCCACAAAAAGAAAAAAATATACTCAGGAAAAATAAATAGTCTTTATATACTTGGAATACTGAAGTTTCCTTATAATTTATTACTTCACCTTTTCCTTGATTTACAGTCTTCTCTGTCTTTCTGGTCAAATGAGGGAGATTCAGCAGTCTCTTCCAAAAGTATTTTTTTTCTACTTTAGAAAAATGAAATCAAGTTTCAGATGAATTAGAATAAACAAATCTTACATACTTTTCCTGTAAGGAAACTTTCTTGCTCCCACCAAAGGAAGTTTTGGCAAGGTAGGTGCCTTCTCCTAAGCTGCCTTTTTTATTATCCTGCAGTAGAAGATTCTTCTCTTAATATATAGACTGGGACATTCTGTTTCCCCCTCCCCCTTTTGGAAAGAATACAGTGACATCATAATCCACCTTCCATTTAGCTGAGTAACCATGGGTGATGCTCAGACACATGACTAAACAGAAGTACTAGGTATAATTCACCTCCCTTTACCTCCCCCCCTTCTTAAGTTTGAGAAAGGAACAAGAGCCAATAATGGTCAGATGTTTACTTATGACTTGCTTATCACATAAATGCAACCTAGCAAAAGAGAAGATTTGAGAGCTTGCATTTAACTAGAACTATTTTCATGCAAAGTCAACTTGGCATTCACTGAATGATCTACACCTACATGAATACCTAGCACATGAGCAAGCTCCAGCTCTCCCATCTTCTTATATCCAGTGGCAGTTCTATAAACAAGCTGCACTTTGGAAGAGGTTCCCTACATTTGTTTCATCTTACATCAAATTAAGATAGAAATGTTTGATACTCTGAAGGTGACTGCTTTAGTATTAAAAAAAAAACTTTCCTCAGTTTCGGTTTCTTGTATTTCTTCTTCCCTCACCTCCCCCTATCACCCCCAAAGTAATAGCAGGAACAACAAACACAACATGACCCTGTCATTCTTGAAAAGGTGTATTCAGATTCAGAAATGACAATTTTACCTGTCAATCTATAGCTCCTACATAGTGATATAGAAAGTCTTTGGGAAATACTATAGCCACAACAAAACCTAAACTACTAAACTCTCCTTTTTTTGCCCATTTCCTATAGTTCTTTTGGAGTCCTGAGCCATTTTTGTTTACTCAAAATGACATGTTGGTTTGATTTGTAAAAGGTGGTATGATTGATTTTCCAGACTGAGGTTGTAGATCAGCTGAGACTGGTTAGTTGTATTCAAAATAGCAAACAGGCAATATGATTTTTTTTAAAGCAACCTGGTATACAAGGGAAAGGAATTATCTAACTATTGAATTGCACAAAAGTTAGAAGAGTAAATATTCAAGAATAGGGGACTCTCTCCCTCTCTTTCTCTCTCTCTCTCTTTGTGTGTGTGTGTGTGTGTGTGTGTGTGTGTGTGTTTGCATAAGACCTTTTTTAACATCAGGAGAAAATGCCTTAGGTGTTAATTAGGGCTTAGATGATTTCCAGATTAACTAAAAATTGTGTAAGGAATTCCTTATCTTTTTTCTTTGTCTCTCTCTTAGATCTTAACAGTCTTTCAGCAGTTTCTAGTCTATGCAGATAAGCAGTTTACATGGTAAATTTCCACTGAACTCTTCAAGCTAAGGTGAAGATGAGACACTCTTTAGGAAATGGAAGGCATTAGTAACTGCTCTTCCAAACCCCAACACTTTCCAAAACTTTAACCATCAAAGCATCTCCTGTAGTCTTGAGTTATTATCCCTGTGTATGCATGTGTGTGTAGAGTGTTTCCATGTCAGAGACAATTAACTTCTGGAAGACTGCCCATCAGTAATCACCCTTGGCTGGGTAGATTTGCCTTGCTCCAAAAAGGAGGAGGCAACTGGGGGGAAGTTGTATTCTAGAAAACAGGTCAGAAAAGCTAAAAATCTCATCTGGCTCAACAGAGGATTCAGGGAACTTAAAGTTGGTCCAGAGCAGTATTTCCTGGACAAATTCAACCCATATTAGATACTACAAAGAGAAGCTAATTTTTTTTTAGGGATGGGGGGTCAGGGTGCAGGGTAAGGGATGGTATTTTTTCTGGGTGTAATCCAGGTATCTAAATTTCAGTGAGACAAAGAGGAAGCCATTCTCTTATTTTTGAACTCATTATAACTACACTTTGACATTTTTGAGCCTCAGTTTCCTTACTTGTAAGGTAAAGGGATTTTACTAATTCCTAAAATCTCCTCCATGAACTCTCTCCAAAGCATAAAAATGAGCCATAACATTTTATAGTTCTTGGGTTTCCTTCCTTATGCTCTTTTTGGTCTTTGTGGGGATGGAAGAAGGGTTTCAAACGTTTCTTTGTCTTCTTGTGAAAAGGCCAGTTTCTTACTCCTACTGTTTCTTTTTACCCTCTTGCCTCCACATTTCACCTTGCTATATTTTCAAGTGCCCAGCTCTTCAGTGAGGCAAGAATATTCCCACTTCCAGAGCTTAGGATGGACATTGGGAGCTACAAACAGTTAGTTGCTCAATTTTCCTTTGTTTTTCTGGGCAGAGATTGGGATACATGGGGTGAGAGGATTCTCTTTAGCACTTGTGAGACAGCAGAGGAAAATAGCTGAGTTCCATAAATGGAAAGGGCAGGGATGGGTAGGGGGAGGATCATTAATGATAGCTGCATTGTTTCTGACATTTTATGAACTTTAAGGTCAATTTCTTGGTCTATTTGTTTTATGAATTCAATGCAGTAAGTACTGGCTGCTGCAAAATGGATTTTTAGAGGGCAAGATTGAAGATAACCTGTTTTTTTCTCCTCCTCCTACCTCCCCTTGTGTCTTTTCCACCTTCTCTTCCTCCCACAATTTCCTCATCTTCTTTGATCTCCTCACCCTCTTTGGTGAACACTTTTGAAACTCTCTTATAAAAAATCATGCTGGCTCAACATGATGTCCTATTTGCTTTCTGTCTACTGGCAGGAAAGCTAAGGGGAAAAAGTCTGACAAGAGAATATAGACAAGAAAAGGAACTTCCTTATACTACAACTGTACCTTCCCTTCTCCTTCATGCCAATGCATGATTTAAAAAAGGAAGATAAGTTCCCTTTTAAACAGTGTGAAATTAGAGTCTCCCTGCCCTAACCTCCAGTCTCTGTCCCTGACCCACCAACTTGAAAATCCAGGGCTCAGAGAATTCCACCTACTCCCTCATTTACCTGGCTTCTATTTATCCCAGCTCCTGGCAGACTAGCAGCATCCATCATTATTTCTTTAATTCATTTAAAGTTTAGGTTATTGGTAGGGGTAGGATGAGGAAAGAGATAGAAAAAGAAAAAAAACAAATAATACTTAATTTTTTTTTTATTAAAGCCACCTCCCTTACTCTGTTTCATAGAATCCAGCAGACACCATATTTGAGGGCAAGTTGTCAGTTATTAATTCACAATGCCTGTTTTTTTCTATATATAGTTGCATAGTGGCTGCAGTTGGCATTCTCTGGTGGTGTAGACTGTGGAATCCATGGACTCTCTCCAAAGCATAAAAACAAATTCGGTTGTGGCACTGATGGATTTTGTAAACGGAGCTGGACTGGCTGGGTAACTCTAGTGAGCTGTCCATGGTGGTTAACAATTTCTGGATGTCAGTTTTCTTCAAACAAGGCACAGACCACCCCTCCCCTAGGTGCTAGCAACACCCTGATCCTGGAACTTGCTGAGGGCAAGAGCAGTTTGAGAGCAGAGCATCTGAGAGTTGGACATTGTTCATTTGGGAAGCTCTATGACTCAAATTCAACGAAAGTGGACCTTCAAAGTTGGAAAGAAAAGAAAAATTCCAGATATTCCAGATTGTGGGTTTCCATTTCCTTCCTCTTTCTTTTTTGGTCAATATTTCTTGGGTTTTGAGGAAATGCCTCTCCCCTCTTCACCTCATCCCCCAAACCAAACAGTGCTGCTCTTCCATATCTTGGATTTGTTGATGAGAGATCAGAGTGGCTTCATGCTGCGGTACTGCTTCTTAAATTGTTTTTTTAAGCATCCACAAATTGCCCATTCTACTTTTTTTTGAGGGGTTGGTGTGGTCTGGCATTGTTCTGATTATTTAAAGAGTAGTCTCCTTTATAGGGTCTGGTAACTGATGCAGAAAAGACTTATCATTTATCCAAGGAATTCTGGTTTGTTCCTATTTGTGGTAGAGCTGCAAATCTAGCTCCAGTGTTCACCTCTTCCTATTTAAGACAGTGTTTCTGGCTCTTAGTCATGTACTAAGTACCTACTGACCATTCTGAGTAAATATAGAAACAAAGAAAATTTAATTGCATCCATTTTCTTAAGATGTGCTTTTCTTCCCAGTGAAATAGAGATCTGCACTGGACTTCTGACAGTCCCCTATTATATAATAGTTAGAAATATATCTAAGCTCCTTTACATGCTCATGGGGAAGATGTTTAGCTGCTTTTTAAAAATTCTCACCTCTTTGTTATCTTTTAATTTCCTTTGATAATTTGTTTTCCATATCTATTGTGTATCTCCAGGCACTTCTATTTCTGTCTGCCCAAACAAGCCACTTTTATATTCTGGAACATTAACACCTAATATGCTTAAGTGTTTTGCTGTTTGTTTTTGTAGAAGACTAAAATTTGGAAGATCACCTTTACTATCTTGTTCCTCATTCTTCTGGAAGTTTTGTAAATATTCATTTTTAATCCTACTTGGTCTTTTTACTGGTCTTTTGCTTATTCATAACTTCCATGGTGCTTGGTTGCAAGATATGACATCCATTAATATTTCACTGGTTTCTTTCACCTTCAATCTTTCTAGTTCCATAACAGAAAAATCTTTAAGGATGTAGGGAGGAATAGGGACTTTTCCCCAACAAAGCCAAATGCTAAGTCTTTGACTAAGTAGATAAGTCTACTTGGTGGTACAGTGGCTAGTGCTGGAGTCAAGACCTGAATCAAAATCCTGCCTCAGATACCTACTAGCTGTGAGATCCTGGGCAAGTAACTGAAACTGTTAGCCTCAGTTTCCTCATCTGTAAAATGAAGATAATCATAGTACTCTCACAGGGCTTTTGTGAAAATCAAATTAAATCATATTTATAAAGAGCTTTGTAAACTTTAAAGCTCTGTATAAATGCTAGTTAATCTCTAGGGGATTGCCTGAGGCACACAGAGATTAAGTGATTTTCCCAAGGTCATTCCTCAAGTAAATAATAGAGGTGGGATCATAAATCCAGGCAATTGTGATTTAAATCCACAATTCAATTACATTTTTTTTTAACTGGGGGAGAATGTAGTTATGTCCAGTCCTGCCTCCATTGATTTTCTTGA